AAGCCACAAAATCGGATTTTTCATTGCGGAAAATTTTTGCGAAATTTCATTTAACCTCGTTATATCTCAGACGTTTGTGTATCGATTGATATGCAATTTGTACACAATAAACTAGATTCTATTCTAAAGAAGATGAGTCCGACTGAACTTCTTAATATTTATTTAAAACAAAATGACAAATATTTTAACACTTTTATAAAAATTAAGGAGGTGGTTTTTACAAATTCAAAAGTTGTGTTACGAAGTTTAAAATTTTTGTTTTGTTTTAATGCAGCATTAAAGGCAAATATATACGGACATTTTTGGGAAAGTTTCAGGTTTAGACAACAAGTAGTTCTAAAGTTATAACAATATTATGATAACACCCACGAGCGGTCGCTCGCCTCTAGATGACAAATATTTTTACTGGGCACTTGTACAAGTAATTTTGGAAGTAACATTAAGTGAAATTTTGAAATGCATGAATTCATCAGTGTTATATAACTACATATTACTAAACTTAATAGACATACTTACATACATAAATACATACATAGTAAATATGCACGTAACTCCATACATAGTCAAAATAGTTATTCGTACAGTGATTGTTTCACAATATTCGCAATGTTTTTAATAATGATTATTCGGAAGTTTTTCACGAACATATAGTGATATTTTAACAAAAACCATACGAATTAAATTTTAAAACTTTTTGCAAAACTTAAAAAATTCTACAAATTTTCATCTATATTTCAAAATTTTGACGGACAATTCTTAGAGAAAAATTGCGTTGAGTTTTGAGATTTTTTTTCTCAATGGTGTTGAACGTTTTCTTCCATGCAAAACTACATTTTGCTCATGGAAGCAGATATGTAACAACCTTGAGAAACAAATTCTAAAAAATCAAAGGTAATCTAAAGCGACTTGAAGCTTGCGATTTATTAACTGAGATTGAATGAGCTACAACCCTGCATACTAAATTTTTTCTAAAAACTGTCATTAAAAATTTTGATGAAAATTTGTAATTTTTTTAAGTTTTGCAAAAGTTTGATAATTCCAATTATATGATTTTGTTAAAATATGAACAGTATTTTCGTGAAAAATTAACGAAAAATTAAAAATATTGCGAATATTGTAAAACAATCACTGTACGAAAAACCATTTTGACTATGTGTGTAATTTTGTATATATGTATATGCATACATATTTAGGTATGTAGAGCTTTAATAAGTTATATTACACTGATAAAGTCATGAATTTCAAAATTTCACTTAATATTACTTCCAAAATTACTTGTACAAGTGCTGTGTAAAAATATTTGTCATCTAGAGGCGAGCGTCCGCTTGTGGGTGTCACCATAATATTGTTATAACTTTAGAACTACTTGTTGTCTAAACCTGAAACTTTCCCGAAAATGTCCGTATATATTTGTCTTTAATGCTGTATTAAAACAAAACAGAAATTTTAAACTTCATAACACAACTTTTGCATTTGTAAAAACCACCTCCTTAATTTTTATAAAAATGTTACAGTAGCCGCCATTTCGTTTTAAATAAGTATTAAGAAGTGCAGTTTGACTCATCTTCTTCAGAATAGAATCTATTCTAATGTGTACAAATTTCAACTCAATCGAATCATATACGTCTGAGATATAGCGAGTTTAAATGAAAATTTCGCTAAAATTGGCCGCTGTGAAAAATCAAGTTTTGTGGCTTTTTCGGCTTGAAGCAAAATATCGCCCTGCGACGATATGCGCAGAGAGAGGCAATTTTTATTTCGCGGATTGCGCGACCTTATATGTATAGATCTTGCTTAAGCACGACTATTTTCTTCTATGAGAGAAAACATCGAGAACAATTGAGATATTTGACCAATCGAGACAATCGACTTAAACATCGCAGACTCGCCCATCACTACAGTCAACTTTGCCCAATCCACATGAAGGGAGATCCCGATGTTTGCGCCAATTATCGCGGAATAAGTCTTCTTAATATTGCATTTCTGTCGACGATACTGTGTGAAAGACTGAAGCCATTCACGAACCTGCTAATTGGACCATATCAGTGCGGCTTCAGACCTGGTAAGTCCACCATTGACCAGATTTTCACAGAACGTCAAATCCTGGAGAAGACACTAGACAAGCAAATCAACACACACCATCTTTTTGTCGATTTTAAAGCAGCTTTTGATAGCACGAAGAGGAGCTGCCTCTACGACGTCATGTCCAAATTTGGGATCCTCGCAAAATTAATACGGCTATGTAGAGTGACGTTGGGCACAACCTTCAGCTCCGTCCGAATTGGGAAGGACCTTTCAATCTGATGCTGGAAAGCATAATAAGAGCTGCTAATATGAATCGCAGCGGCACAATATATAGCAAAAGAACGACGCTGCTGGCGTATGCAGATGATATAGATATCGTAGGTCTGAAATAAAAGGACGTAACCGCAGCATTTTTCAGTTTAGAAAAAGCAGCTAAATAGCTTGGTCTAGCAGTGAACGAGGGCAATACAAAGTACCTCCTTGCAACATAAAAGAGAAGTAATAAATATTTCCATTTGTTTATGAAAAATTTGTATAAAAATTAAAAAATATATACAAAATAATGATTATTTGAAAAATTTAAACAATCAGGCAAAAGCTTGTCTAATTAACTATCATCGTGGAAAAAATAAGCAAGATACATGCTATGAATCATAATAATAAATTATTACTGAATTCATCAAAAAAATTAAATGTTAATATTAATAACTCTTGTAAAAATTCGAATTTTGCAAAATTGCTCAAATTATATTTTTTTTTATGGTTGTAAACCGAATAAAGTGATTTGTGCGAAAAAATCCTGACCATCCAATTTTCGGTGGCCCACTTGACAGATTTTCACTCATATGCATCTTCATCACGCTCTTCGTGCGTCTTTGTACTCTACCAACAAATGCCAGCTTATAGATTATTTCGCGCACAATCCGGACCGGTTCCGGTAACACGGCTTAACAAAATTTGGTCGTATTTTATTTCAAAAACGGGGCCGACTCATTTTATAGATTTTTTTATGTTAATTTGAAATGCATTTAAAAAAATTTTCTAACACGCCCAGTTTTTTAGAAAAAAACTGTTGAAGTGTCGAAAAATGGCAAAAGTGACAAATTTCAAAAAAAAATTAATAATAGAATTTGTACGTAGTTTTTCCGAAGAAAAAAACACCTATTAATGAAAATCCAATTCGTCTGCTGGATTCTACCTCATGTCGATGAATTGATTAGAAATAAGTTAAAAATTAAAAAAAAAACTCAGTTCTACAATAGCATGCACTTGTTTTCCTACAAATACGAAAATATCAATCTATGAATTTATTTTAAAAACAAAGTGATTTCAATAACAAATCAGCATTAAAAAATCAGAATCCGAGATAAATCATTAGCCAGTCTTTTGTCTCTTAACACCTTCCGCGATCTGGAAGACGATCCTGAAACATTTTCTTTTGTGGATCGCATTATCATCGCTTTTCAAGTTCCAGCAATAGTCAGCAAGCTTGTGGAGGTTTGATTTCCTATCATACCGCTTCTCCATAGTGGCTATGTCCTGGTAGAATCGTTCGCCATGTTCTTCGCTAGTATTTTTTTTTAGTTTTTCACCCCTTTCAACTTCATCCATCGACTTTTCTTCGGGAATATTTTTCCACACTCAACAGTTTTTTACTCAAAAACTGGGCGTACTAGAAACATTTTGTAAATGTATAATTAGAGACTAAGCGAAAAATGGTACAATGTCCAAAAGTACGGAAACGCAAAAAACCACATTTCGTGCCCAGAATTAGAGAAACAGTTGATTCACGTGGTGTTTATTGTTGGCACTTACGTAAGTGCAAACACTTGAAAATTTAATTTTGGCTTCATAAATTCGATTGTATTAATAAATAAGTATATAAGGAATGAAAATACTTCAAGAGGAAATTCATTATTCCTTAAAAGCACAAAGTAAATGCAAGCAAAATGCAAACACAAAACAGCCGATATGCACTTTGACACTTTATTCATTTTTACTCGGCGAAAAAGTCCGGGCTCTTTCGGGTAGGAAGAAGACACTTACGGGAATGGTTTCTGGGCTGTTTTGGGATCCCGCGGGATCCCTCGTTGAGTAAGGGAAAGAACCTATTATTGTGTCAGAAGATTTAATTCCAAGCAAGCTTCGAAAGCCGTTGAAACCGTCCTGGTGTCCTGATTCGGTTGGTATCTGTTGTATTTTTGTATTTTTAGCAACTGTTCACTCTAATATTCGAAAACGCCTCCATATAATCAGATTGCACTTCTAATGTAATTTCAAATATGTATGTATGTACGTATGTACTAGGAATGTTAATCCAGGGATCCCGGCATTTTTAAGGTCCCAAAAATCCCGGGATTCTTGGCAAATAGTTCCGGGATTTTCGAGATTTGTAATTTGCACTGATGGCAGTAATAAAAACTCCTTTTCTTGACCAGTATTGGCTATATATTCTTTTTTTATTTAATAATTAATATTTTTTTATAAATCTCTAGCTCATTACACATATAACACTGCGCGATAGTAAATTGTAAACACAAATATCAATATATTCGCGAAATCATGGGGCAAATATAGTAAAATTCCGTTTTTAGTTTTTCACTCTGACATCAGTAATTCAAAAATGATTTCAAAAATTCAGAGAAATGTACCGAGAGAAGAGAAGTTTTTGGTGCAGAAGGGCTGGTAAGTATTAAAAATGTCCTTTTAAAATTTTATCCTTGAAATTTTGCAATATTTGTTTTTGAAAAAATTAGATGTTAAGGACTTATATAAACTCGATAACATCCTCGAATTTCGTCATTCTAAGTTTACCAGCTTAAAAAATTACCTATTCGTCCTTGTGAATCCAAAAAATTTTAATCTTTTTAAATTCTGCAGAAATTTCCTCTTGCATTTGGTACCCATATTTTTATTCTACATTGCATTGAATTTTTTAAATAATTTTTGGAATTAATCATATCTTTGAAATTACAAGGTCTTTAAAAATAAATGTTGACGTCAGTGAGAAAAAATAAAAACGCTACTTTAAATAAAAAAGTAAGTTTCAAACCCATTTATTTTATGGTAGGAGAGCTTCTCAAACAATATAGAAGCAATATTCCGATTTAATGCCGGGATCGGGAAAAGCTGAAAAATTAACATCCCTAGTATGTACATCCATACATACATAAGTTAAACAGGTTAGGAGTACATTGATGTTTATAAGAAAAATTTTACAGCTTAGGTAGTATTTTATAAATTAATTTTTCTGGTCAGCTTAGGTACTATTTTGGCGAACAGCCTTGCAGGTACTTTGTGTCATAGTTGTTGTTACTGTTCCTTATTCTGAAGAGTTCGTATGCAAAGAAATTGCAATAGAAAAATACACTGAAAGAACTCAACTTGGAGCGGCTATAGCGAGCTAACTTTTCAAAACGCTCTTAGGGTTTTGTTACCGTTGTGTGATGTTCAGTTTTTTTAATTTTTCGAATTATTATAAATCTTGTACAAAGTTTAAAACACTGAGTTATATGGTTTTCGCTGTATTATGAACAACATTTTGCAAAAAACTAAATTAAATCTAATAAAAAAATAAATGGCAAGAAGTACTATTTAGAAAACTTAACTTAAATTGTATGAGTTTAGAAAGCTACATATGTACATTCAAGGAAAAATATGCTTGAGATATGATTTAGTTTCTACCGAAAAATGCAACCTTCTCTTTGCCCTCCACGCATAAACACTAAGAAAAGGGCGATGAGAAGGCAACATTTTTTGTAGAAACGAAATCACCATTAGATTTTCGAACTTAAGAATTCTGGGCGTCCACTTTATTAACCAATCTTTTTCTGTTCGCTTTAGTACTGTTCAATGTCCGGTTATACTCACATAGCGGCGGAAACTGTGGACGGTAGTTGATTTACCACTGGTAAATTTGGTTGAGCGGTGCTTTCTTTACCATAATTCGGCAATGGCTTACGATGTCCTCTAGGATTTGTATTACTTGTATTTTCAGGTGTCACATTTCCATGTAAAGCTTGTTGCAGAAGAACTGTGTTGGTCTTAGTTTGTTCTTGTGGTTTCTGGAGCTGATATTTTTGTTGTAGTTGCAACTGTGGCTGTTGCATTTGTATTTTCTGTGCTTGAACTGGTTTTCCCTCTTTATCTTCCCCATTCTTATCCACGGATTCATCAGTCTCAGCATCGTCATCGTCGTCATCATCATCATCATCATCATCATCATCGTCATCGTCATCACCATCGTTGTTGACTTCATTGTGTTCACCGCTATTATCGTCGTCGTCATCATCATCTCCTTCGTCATCATCATCTTCATCATCGTCGCCCTCATCATTCGCATTATTTGTTTGCTGTTGTTGTTGCAATTGTAGCATTTTTTGCTTTATGAGATTGCTGTTAGCAGTCATTGCCACCTCTTCAGTGTGCACTTGTTTGTCCGCCGCTAATGCATGCGCCTCGGAGTAGATTTCTTCCCTCGGCATTTGCACAGTTCTGCTATGGGCTTCATTATTTTCCGTCTGCTCTTCCACTTGTCGATCACTTTTTCTAGCGCAACCAGATGCAACGGCTTCATCTCCCTCGGACTCATCACTCTCCGACTTCTCTTGCTTGACCACGCGCTCAACATGAGCGAATTGATCTGTCTGCTGCGCAAGAGAATATGCTTGCTGTAGCTGCTCAGTGCTATCTGCTACCATGGGTTGAGCGATGGTTTCATCGCCCTCTTCACCATTATTGGTGTCTATGACGCGCTCATGGAGACTAACCCCGTTGACAAGGCTCTTGCGCAGGCGCCAGGCAAATGTTCTCGAAATATTCAACTCGTTGGCTATGACGGTAGTAGTGGCTTCGCGCAAAATTAATTGCTTTGCCAAAGCGATTTTTTTGGAATCCAGCTTGATTCGAGTGCGCCCTTTACGCTTGTTATTGACCATATGAAGTCTGTTAAGGAATATAATAATTTAATTACCGTAAATATCCATCTATACAATTTCCACTTACTTTCTATTGTGCAGATAAAGAGCATTTTCCGGTTTACGTATGCCAGCACGTTTGGGAAAGTTGTTGTATTCCACTATATTCTGTTTTAGAAGCTGCTGCAACGGCCTGCAAGTAATAAGTACAAAACAAGAATACATACATATGTATTTGCCTCGAAATGGTTAACAAGGACAGTTTTTTTTTAATCTTAATTCAATTTAATCTACATTTTAGCAGCTCGTGAAGGACAGCCCGTGCGTTTGTGCCAGCCCAAGTGGTGCCCGGTGGGAAACAAAACGTGACAGTCAGAACACTGCATAGGACGCCTAGGGTAAAATGCATTTTATTTTTCAAAATATCTTCGTTTAACGGAAATTAAACCCTTACGTTTGATTGCGTCGCTTTTTGACGCAACGTCCGCGCCGTACATGCTTTTCAAGGAATCGCTTGTAAAAGTACGTCTTTTTGCAATTCGTGCACTCATATACGGGCCCCTGGGTGCCATGTACGCTCTGCATATGTGCTTTTAGAATTTGCTTCATCTCAAAGATTTGGAGACAATCCGGACATTGGTAGCCACGCAACACAGTCTGATCCATGCCACCGTAAGTAGGAATGCTATCGATGTTGCTTCCGCCGACCACCAATTCATCGCCTGGTGTTAATAGTTCTACTTCAGGCATGAGCGGCAACGGATCATCATCATCATCAGCGCATTCGTCCGAATTCGCTCCGCTATTGCCCGCTCCTGAATTCTTATGGGGACCGTTTATTTTACTCAATTGTTGCTGCATATATTCGTGCATCAGTCGAATCGAATGAAAATCAAATGGTTGCTTGTAATAAGGAAACTTTATTTCTCCGTCATCCTCCTCGGTTATTGCACTAGCCGGGAGTCCGCTGGCACCGATATTCGAATATTCTTCATTGTCGCTGCCGCCATAGCACTCCATTGCGGCAACCTCAGGAACTTGTTCGGTGGAGTCGACTTCCTGTTGCACGACCGAAGCATTGCTCCCGGCTGAGGTTCTACTCTCGAACTTTTGTATGAGCAGTTGTTGTCGAAAGAAATTGTCGGCATCTTCACACTTTTTCTTGAAGAGACACGCAGATATCGCATTTTTGGCACATGTTACACACACTTGTTGCGGTAGGGTGTCACCTTTTTCAATCTGCAACAACAAAACATATTTATACATATGTATGTATATATGGAGTCACTTAAGGTTTTAGGAAAATGTTAAAGAAAATAAGAAAAAAGGTAAGTGCGCCTGGGCCACACTGGAGACGTAAAACTTACGTTACATACATACATATCTATTTTGTCTCATAACCAATATACATACATACATATGTACATACATACCTCCATCTGCTATTGCTTAAGGTTATATTTTTTGTCTTTTTTCTATCTAGATCCCTACCTCTACCCCTGTTCGGTCTAATTACATTTATGTTATTCTGTTTTCCTTTATCTTAATTTTTATCTTTATACTCTATCGATAACAAAATCGATAGTAACATCCAATAAAATATCGACAAATATGGATAAAAAAAAATCGATTAATACTAAAAAAATCGATAAATATCGATAACAAAATCGATAAGTATCGATAACAAAATCGATAAAAATATCGATAACAGAATCGATAAAAATCTATAACAAAATCGATAAATATCGATAACAAAATCTATAAAAACATCGATATAAATATCGACAAAAATATCCACAACAAAATCGATAAAAATATCGATACCAGAATCGATAAAAATATCCACAAAAAAATCGATAAATGTCGATAATAAAATCGATAACAAAATCGATAAAGATCAATAACAAAATCGATAAAAATATCGCTAACAAAATGGTTAAAAATATCGATTACAAAATCGATAAAAATATCGATTATTATATCGATAAGTTCCGAAAATATCGATAGCAAAATTGATAACAATATCGATAAAAAATCGATAACAAAACCGATAAAATTATCGATTATTTTATCGATAAGTCCCTAGAATCCCGAAAATCTCTAAAATACCAAAATAGTTCTCAGATTGAGTCTCTGTGTCTCTCTTCACATCCTTTCCTCTTTAATTACCTTTATTTTAATCTTTCTTCCCCTATCTTCATCTTTACTTTTATCGGTATCCTTATCCTCCTCTTTGTCTTTACTTTTTAACCGACTTCCAAAAAAGGAGTAGGTTATCAGTTCGTCGGATTTTTTTTTTTTTTTTTTTTTGTTTTTGATGTATGTTACCGCATAACTTTGGACCGCGTCAACCGATTTCGATAATTCTTATTTATATGGGAGTTGAAGTCGGTTTTTTTTTTTTGCTAAAAATTACTAGTATGTTTATCATTTTCTTCATCTACATATTCCCTTTCACCTTTGCCCGTTTAAATTTACCTTGGTTTTCATTTTTGTCTTTATCTTTACGCATTTTTGTTTTTGTTTTTATTTTTACTTTTGGCTTTATCCTTTTCTTTATCTATGTACGTAGTCACCTTTACTTTCATTCTTGTATTGGTCTTTTTCTAAGTGTTATTCTTTAACCTTTTATTAGCAAATTTTTGTTAAATTAATGCCATATGCATACACACAAGAAGCACTTGTTTCAGCCCCAACCATTCCCGTTGCATCATTTCAGTTGCACCATTTCCGTGTGCAATTTCCGTTGAATTTTCCAACTTACTCCCAACCAACCAACCGCCGCTAAAGAAGTTTCACTTCACATCTTGTATTGGTCTTTTTCTAAGTGTTATTCTTTAACCTTTTATTAGCAAATTTTTGTTAAATTAATACCATATGCATACACACAAGAAGCACTTGTTTCAGCCACAACCATTTCCGTTGCACCATTTCCGTTGCATCATTTCCGTTGCACCATTTCCGTGTGCAATTTCCGTTGAATTTTCCAACTTACTCCCAACCAACCAACCGCCGCTAAAGAAGTTTCACTTCAAAAAAACATCTCAATTAATATAGGCATTTAGTGAAAGGGATTTAAATAACCGATTCGAAGTATTCAGAAATTTAGGGAAAGAGTGAATCGAGCAGATGTTTACCCTAACCTTTTCAGATGCCCAGACCCCGAGATTTAAAAATAGAATTATAATTTTTTTACTTTTGATGGTTTTAATTATTATTTGTTAACAAAACTTAAACTTAACAAACAATTCGTTAACCCTGGAAGACCATGATTATTCTGAGAATTTTTTCTTGTGCCGAATTTCCACTAGGCATTGAAATGACAAAAAATTGATGCCATTTAAAAAAAATGCCATGTGGAAATTGAACTTATGGACTATTTTTTTAATGTAATGACACGATAACTTTTTAATGCCCGACTTTGTCATTTGTCATTTTTGACATTTAATGCCTCGTGGAAATCCAGCGTTGGAGTTTTCTTAAGCTTCATAAGTAGAATATGTTCACACAAAACTGAAATTTTTAAATACTTCGTTATATTATTAAACGTGCGATATGTATGTATGCAAGTTCTTTGGAATACGACAAATTGTTGCATGAAAAAAAATGTATAAAAATTTAAAAAACTTTCCCAAACTCTGAGATTTTAGTGGCAAACCCTGTGCCCAGAGATTCGACCCGAAGCCCCTGAATCTCAGGGTGAAAAATACAAAGTGGCAACCCTGAGCAGATGTCCTTTTAGTAGAGGCTTAGATAATAAAAATATAAAATTGTCAAGCCCATGATTCAATAATACAAGGTTAGATAATTATTGACAGCCACGGTTTGACTTTCCCTTACAAAAGGTTGCATTTACGAAGGACGGAGAAAGGGGAAGAATGAAATCTCTTGGTGCGAAAATGGTAGTAGAAAAGTACGCAAAGTAGGCAATTAGTAGTGAAATTCCGTTTGTAAATTCTAATGTATTTGCAGGAAATCTGGCATTTTAAACGAAATATTGAACGTAATATTGATATATCTACGTGAATTACGTAATTTCTCTGCTATTTAGCTGTATAAAAGCTGCAAAAGGACTCAAAATTAAAATAAAACTACTATGAGATTTATGTAAACATCCAATTTAAAAACAATTTATGTTTTCATCAGTTAAATATGCTTCATATGCATATACAAATAAACATATTGCACAAAAGCTTATACTTCTATTTAACACCAAAGCTACACTTTTTCCAAGTAAATTTGCAAAGAAGCAACACGGTGCCACTGCTAAGGGAGCGGTGCGAGAGAGACAACTGTCAGTTTATCGAGAGAGACAACTGTTAGTTTATCGAACCTTGTATTATTGAATCATGTGTCAAGCCAAACTTGATATTTTTGAATTCAAACTCAAACCTTCTAAACTTGGGACAACATGCTGTTTGACAGCTAATTGTATCATGTCGTTCAGAAAGAGCAAATCTTATCGCTCACCGATCACTGCCAATGCCAATGACTGACATCTTTCAATGTACAACGTCTTTAAGATGAATTGATGGATATATGTACATAAATATATACCCGTAGTTTGGCTAAGTTAAGCTAGGTTAGGTTATAGCCCAGTTATGCATACTTGCACTGCTACACCATTTTTTAGGTAAAAATCAAAACCCAACAGAATTCTACATGTTAAGTGCTATGCGTTGGGTAACCGCTTACACGCAAAGCCCATTTAACAGATTCTTATATGACAACTCTCATGCAACGTTAAGTATGCATAACTGGGCTATTAGAATTACTCACCTAGAATTAGAATCAATTGGTCAATGAGGTCATAGTGAAATGAGCATAGGCGAGCACCTGATAGGGTCGGAAAGAGATAGGCATGCTCAGCGCAGGGCACTTGCTTATGGAATTCTGCCAGCGTTGGGCATGACTGCTTTAAATCGTTTCCTCGTCGCGGTAGCTGCGGCAGAAGTCATGTGCCTTTCAATCAAGCAGTGGCCGGTGATAATTTCAGTGACTTGCCTAAGTGAAGGACGTTCTAAACCCGTGCCGGCCGCCCTAATACTAAAACATCTGCATAAGTGTGTGTGTTATGCGCGTCCCGTAGCGAATGTCTTGCATTAGTCACTTAAGTGTCTTGTACGGCCGTGTTAATTTATAAATGACTTTGGGCTCCGCTTATATAGAAGTCGTTCATGACTTTTTCATACAAATGGTAATTTAGTCGTTGATGGCCTCTGCATGATTTTGTCATGCAGTGATCATTAATAACATTCGAGCGACAATGGGTCGTATGAATAAAAATAAGCAATTGCTTTTTCTTAAAATTTCAGACCTTTCACTCGTTTATTCAAACAAAAGTGAAGTAACAGGTATGAAATATTAAGAAAAAGCAATTGCTCAGTTTTTATTCATACGGCCCAATGTCCTGCAATGAAAAAGTTTATAAAAGACCGCTGCAAGACAATGTCTGTTATAAGTCTTTGATAGGAATACACCTGAATGACATTTTCACCAGTGTCATTGTCAGCTATATGTCGTTTAGGATTCACAGCAAGTGCGACGATGTCACTAAATCCTCATTAGTGACGGTGCCACCAGTGACCATTTTCGCTAGTGGGGTGAGAGGCGAAAGCATAACTTCGTGCATACACATCGTTAGCGTTGGTGTGAAAACACGAACAAAAAACTACACAATGTGCAAGTTTTGGCCGGCATTGTTCTAAACGAATGAGTGGGCCGTACCATTTCTTGTCGAAGCTGGGCCGGGTCGGAGGATTTTTATTTACTCTTTCGGATAAGTGTGATTTAAATCATCATTTCCCTCCTGAAAGAGGACATGTCAGTTAGGTACCGTTAGTTCGGCCTAGAACCTGAACCATAACATTAATTTCTTTTGAATACTGCGATACACCCGAAACAAAACCTGAAAGTCCGGTACATATACACATATAAATTCAAGACCGTATTTTTGCTTAAATTACAAATTTCGAAATTTTTATGCAATTGCATTAGGTGAGGAACCAAATTATTTAAAAAAAAAATTATTTTAGGTAGATACTAGATGTTTGGCAACTTTCATACACATTTCTGGAATCAGCGATTGTCAAATTTGAAAAAATTAAGAAAAATATGGGCTTATTAAACTTTAACCGATGAAAACGTCCAACAAGCTAAGTCTATCAATTTATTGTTATACATCATTTTAAAGCTCCATAAATCCTCTTTGTAAAGCCTGAGCTGTTTAAAATCGGATG